TTTTATAATCTCCTTTAAAATCATTGTTCAGTTATTCAATTAAAACCTTATATATGATAGCTAAATTTTCCCCAAATTCCTAAGTAGACAAATTAACTTTGGTTTGTCCTACAAAGTATCCCATAACCAAAACCTTAAAACTGCACCACCAAATAGCCCCAAACCTGCCAGGTAAAAAAGCTCCAAATACCAAAAGGCCGCTAGTCCTTTCAACAACCACCGCCAGAAAATTAGTGATATTACCCTTACCACCAACCTTAGAAGACCCTGATCAGAAAAATTTAGAAGCCTCGCCATGAAACTCTGCTTAAAAATATGCTGTTTGTTGTACTTCAACTTGATCATTGACAAATAATAGGCGACCTCATATGGAAAAAGAACCTTGCCTTCAGTGTAGGAAAAAGGAGAAAACTCAAGAGACAGAAGACTAAGTAAAAGCCAAGTGTTTGAGGAAGTAAGGGTATTACAGTTCACAGGAAGAACAGAGAAAATGTTGTGGAAGGAGGCTGACTCCTGCAGTCACCTTGGCCAGTGTGTGTTCCACAAGGGAAAGAGATGTCTTAATTTCTTTGTTGACGTTCTGATATTTGGAGGAAGTTCTTTGAGTGGAAAGTTGAAGGTCGCCTAGCAGTGTGCAGTAATCTATTTTGAGGCTGATGATTATTGGTGAGAACAAATCTAGGCCCTTTTGGGGTTAAAAGTAGAGAGAATGGAAATTTTGATACGAAAAAAAAATTTTAAGCTCTGTACCAAATTGATGTAGCACAACATAATAGAGTATTAGTGAGATATCACAAGAACCGTCGTCAACCCTAGCCACGTGTTGTCACAATCACAATATTATTAGTCACTTAATTCAATGAGAGAAAATCAATAGTTTTTGTTCATAGGCAGTCTCTACAATAGTGATGAATTACTTATGTGTTTATAGAGTGTCTACATTGAGATCTTACCTTTTGCATAATAAGCAGATTAACAAACTAGATTGAATTGTCAGCCTCACCTATCACCCAGCCACAAAAGATATTGTGCAAATCTGAGTAAGTCTAATTTCTTTGTAGTGGTCTTTTCAGAAAAGTATTTGATTATAAACAACCTATCTAGCTAAATAATGGATCAAAATTGAATGTCTAAAATGCTTTCACAAATTGATCATGAACGCTTTCCAAGGTGTTCTAATCTGTGTAAGTCTAGTTTCTCTATAGTCTGCAGATCTCTCAACTCAGTCATGTGCAGTAAGCTTGAGTTCCAATAATAGTGTGAGTAACATTACTTGTTTGAAAGTAGTATTGAAGTGAAAGGAACTTGCCAAATTGATCGCTGGAAGAAGAGAGCATTTTTACATTAAATCATTTGTTACCGCTGCACTTGAAAAGCACATATTTACCTCTGACTTTCAAGAACTGGAATACGTGCGAGGATAAACTCACAGAACAGCTCTAATATCTCATATGCAGCCCATATGTTTTGTTCTCGAATCACATGTTCCACCTGACCACCCAAGAAAACAATTTCAATTGTCAGCTCATGAATATTAGTTCTCATTGCAGCAACATTAATAATTAAGAACTTGAAGGGGTACCCTGATCCGAGCAATTGCTTCCTGTCTGGCTTGCAGGAATTCAGCTATCTCCTTGCGCATATGTTTGAGCTGCAGATCTCTCTTATTTTGCAGTAATTTGATGCGCGAAATAGCTAAGGTCAAACATGTTTTGCTACGGACCACTCACCATTTAGAATTTAAACCCAGTATAGAAATTCAAGAGAAATGATAAAACTGCAACAACATAATTAAATCCAAAAGCATACAAGTACTACCTCCGACAACAAATTATGGCTTTGTTGTCTTTTTAAAAAAAGACGAATTCTTTTACTTTAACTTGCATAAAAGGAGTTCAAACAGCGAATTCACACCGAAAAAATCTCCAATTTAGGATTTAAACAAGAAAAAATCATTAAACAATGGAGTAAATTACAAACGTACACTTCATCAGAGTGTAACGCATTTTCACAGAATTGAGCGCTTTAACAGAATATACTAACCGCTTAAGCGACGACAATTATATTAGAAATTTTGATAAGTTAAGTTGACCAACCAAATTAGAATTGCGAGGAAACATAAATTCTATCCAGAATATCCAATGAAAAGAAGCAGAAGGAAGAGAGAGAAAGAGATGAACGGACCATTTTGCACCAAAAACTCCACGGTTGAAGAGCTGGTTTAAGAGTGACATCGCCGCTTAAACAGAGAGAAATCAGTATTTGTGATGATCAAAGAAGGATCTACCTATCTCCCTCGCTTTAGATGGCGCGCGCGTAATCTACAGGCGAGGATAGATCATTTCTAGAAGAAGCAGGTTTAGCTTTTACACCCCAGTTTGGCTGTAGCTTCCACCGCGTGAGTTTAGGAGAAAAAAGTAAGTTGATGTTCAAGGAAAATAGATGAAGGTGTTGATGTACGGAAGTTAATATGACAACAAAAAATTAGAAGTTTTCTACCCCGCTTCTAATGTTTCCGTATTTAAAAAAAAATAATAATACAGCACTTACAAATTGCTAATATGTTATAAACGTAATACCTATTAAATACTATGAACTTATGTTTCTGAAAAAAATTCTAGTTTATTCATTATATTAAAATCAAATAAATATTTGTTGGTTCTATTATATGTAGATGGCATGATAATTACTTAAGATAATGAAAATTAAAATTTTTACGTTAGAAAATGATTTATCTATTCATTTTTTTTAAAAAAAATTAAAGATAATTAATTGTTTTCTTAATTTAGAAGTTGAAAAATCATGTCAAAGATATTTCATTTGTTAAAGATGACGTAAAATGAGCTTTTACAGCCTTTTAGTATAAGGGAGTCAAAGAAAAAAATCATCTTTAAAAGAGACACATCTCAAACTAACGAAAAATAATGTGTAGTTACCAAATGATGTTATATGATTTAGACAACTAGTTGGTAGCTTAATTTTTTAACTATCATAAGACTTCGAATTGTGTATTTTGTTGCATAGCTTTCTCATTCATGCAATTCGCAAGAAGTTTTCATTTATATGCAACAAAAAGAATTTAACGTTGTGTAAAATGCTCCCTTGATCATGGTCTTATTTATAAAATAGATAAAATTTTACTATTAAGTGGATTTACTTGTGAAAATTAGTCAGGAGATACAAGTAATGGATGCTTAACTTTGGGTTATTATTTCCATGTTAGTTTAGCAATGATATGTTAATGTAGCAAAAAGTAATTTGTGGTTATGTTATCTAGCAATAAAATTGAGTATGTGGTAGCAGCCATTGTTTCACTAAAATATATGTGGTTGAAGAAATTGATGGTAGATATGCTATGTAAAATTGAATTTGATATATAAATTAAATGTGACAATAAAAATGTTATTGAACTTACAGTAAATCTAATTTTTTACGTACAAACAAATATATTAAAATTCATAATTACTAAATTTGAGAAAAAATGTTAAATAAAAAAATTGAGTGAAGGAGATCCCCAATAAATAATCAAGTTGTTAACATACTTATAAAAGCCTTAAGAAATATTAAGTTCGAAT